AAGTTATACTTCTGGGCAGAGTTTTACAAAGCAACAGATAATAGAACAGTTGTCCAATCCTTCATCTTATAATAACTTTCACTAATTTCACTAACTACATTTACTAATCTCAACATTCCATTCAATGTTATTCCTACTGGGAATGATGCCTTTGGGGAACTCCTATTTATACACACTCAACGAACACTGCACTTTCAAGCTAATCCAAATTCTACCTCTTTTTGCTAGGTCTAGCTCAAATGTTATTTTCTTTTCTTTCCAGGACATATGGGGACTAATGCTGCTCCCCAAGGAATTCTCCCTTTTCTCTAAAGTCTCTTCTCACTAAACATTTATATATTAGCTTGTATTAATTTTTCAGATCTCTCTCCTTGAGTATAAACTTAAGAGCATCATTTCTTCTACTCCTTGTATTACAGTACAGTATTCAATAACATAACACTTATGAGTATGTTAACAGGATTTTTAAAAGTTAAATATTTACCAAGATACAGGTTTAACAAACATTTCATGGAAAAAAACTGAATAAAGCTTAAATATCTATACTTCCCTGAAAAAGCCCAGTTTTTCTTACATGTTCATGATTTGTTCCACCTCTTTTTAGATTTATACTCAAGTCACTGTGGCTTTCCCTGGCCACACTGTTTAGAATGGCACCCCTTTCAACATTACTGACTTTCAACACTCCTATTTCTGCCCCACTTCTCTGCTTTATTTTTCCTCCTTGCACTTGCAATACCAAATGTTTTATATTAATTATAATGCACTAAATATTTTATACAAATTGACAAGACTCCTACAAAATCTAAGGTTCTATGAGCCTGGAATTTTTGTCTATTTTGTTCATTTCTTCATGCCCATGCCTGGAAGAATATCTAGTACTGAGATACCAACTGTAAACTGTTGAATGAATTAGTCAAAATTGATAAATTGAAGGTCTCTTAATCAAGCAGTGAACCTGTCCTCTTCTCTTTAAATAATAATAATAATAAAACCTGCTTTTAGAGTAGGATACAAAATTCTCTAATCTTTAAACCTCCATTTAGTTCTCAGCTAAATGTGGTTCAATTTGACTTCTTCCTTTTCATTACCAATCATTTTGCTTTTAGCCAGTATGACACAAGATATGTATGAATCACATCAGAAATTCAATAACAGGAATTGCCGGAACAAGGAAGTGTGGCAATATTATAACCTGTGCTAGGATATAGTCACAAAGTCAAACAATTTAGCTATATATTTTCCTCCCCTATAGGAAGATAAAGGTACTTGATTTAAAAGAATCACTTGGATATAAGTCAATCCAGCATATTGTTCAATGTCTTTAATTTCCATTTCTAATTCACTTTATTTTATTTACCAGACAATATGAATTACATTGGTTTAGGCAAGGATTGTATCATCTCCTGACAATCTCTATTGGTCTGCTGAGGTTTTTTTTTTTTTTTTAGCAAGTTCTATAATGTCTGTCTCTGGCTATATTAAACCTTACCCTATAGGGCAAATCATCATTGGATGATGATAGGATACTGAATCATATTCCTTGCTGACAGCAAGGAAGATGATAGGGCAGTCAGAGATTGCTACTTATCCTGAAGAAACCCTGCACTTAAATCTACCTATATGATGAAGATTTAAAAGTAAAAATCAAGTTGTAGCTTCTTTAGACCACACAGTAATCTATGTTATTGAACAGAGAATAAAGCATTCATTTTCTTTCCTTCGTACCAGTACTCCAAAACCATCATCTTTCTCAGTAACCCATTAAGTCTCAAATTTTCAATTTTGTGAATACTTTATTTAAAATAGGTTGGAAATCATAACCTCAAGCTTATATATCCTTTATGTATTTTTTTCAAATGCTCTAATCAGTCTTCTGTTACTTTTCTCAAAAGAATAGACCTCTATAAACATAATCATTATTTCAAAGTGACCATAAGTGGTATACTTGTTGCTCATTTGAAGTTTTCATGCATTTTTAACATCTGGGACAATGGGACAAAATGAGTTAAAATACCAAAGCAGTCAGGACTTGATTAAAACCCAAACCTGACATTTAGAGCCCTCCTCAACCTTATCAATTAGATATTTTCCAATAGCCTGATCAAATCCCATCTCCTCTGTATGCAACTCTCAAGTTCCTCCACTCAGAATTTCTCTCCTCTCTTCTCATAGTAGTTACTTTACTCAAAAAATGCCCTATGTCACTTACATATGTACCTTTCTCCCCAAGCCTGAGAATCCATGAAATTAAAGGCAAGATTCCAAGGAATGTCTGGCACAGTGTTTTGGGCTTGTTTTTACGCAATAAGTGTTGAATTTCTGTACTTATAAAAATTGCCTGTGTTGAATTTCATTCTCTCAATCAAAACTTATGGAGGGAAATCCTATCAAATACTGTCCTGGTCACTGAGGACCAAGAATCACACAGGATCTCAGGCTTCCAAACACAGAAGGGAACCACTGTCCTTTGTGCCTACTCAATCTCTATCACAATTTTTCATAAGACTGGGTCAACTGATATCTGGCCCCTACCACTCCCAGCACTTACCACAAAGCCTGACTGCAATTAAGAGCAGTGCCTCGAAACTCTTTGGGAAACAAGTGAAGTGTAACCAAAGGGTAACTGGCTAAAATTCCAATTTCCCCTGTACTACCTTTGTGACCTTGGATAAATCAGTTAATGTTTTTGAACTTCAACTCCCTCTTTTGTGAAACAAAGGTATATAAATCTATCTTACTAGGATATTGTAAATAATGACACTTTTTTTTAAGTATTAACTTACTGAATCGAATCCAGGGACTTAATAGGTGTTCAATAAAGCTCCCTTCCTCGAAAGCTCTGTCACTGTAATTTGCACAGAAGGGCCGGGAGAGCGACCGTGTGCGTGTACCCTGGGCACACCTGCCAAATTCGCGGTGCTGGAGGTCAGCGATGTCTCTGGCAGCCCACCCACCACCATGCCTCACCTTGGTGGTCGTAGACGCTAATGTAGGAGATCCCCACAGCCATACACCACACCACAATGCTCGCGATGTCCGAGAAGCTGGGCTCCTGCTCCTCCGCGGTGATCACCAGGCCCATATGTACAGGTAGCTTCTCCAGGGAACGGCCGTCCGCGCGCCAGCGCAGCCGGGGGTGGGCGGCGGCCGGACCCGGCCCCCCGCGCGGGAGCCGATGGTGACGGCGGTTTCTGCCTACTGCCGGGGGCTTGTGGAGCGCAAAGCCGAGCGGCGCTAGGACCGCGGCGGAGGCGGCACGGTAGCAGCGCCTCCAGATCCAGTTCCAGGTGCCGAACCGAACGCGGAGCCAGGAGGTGAGCGTGCGGTGCAGGCAGAGCAGCGCGTGTAGCACCCGCCACACCAGCTCGTACAGCCCCGTCATACTCTTGTGGCGCTCGGGCGCCCACCCCTCCCTCCCACCCACACCCGCGGCGTGATGGCTTTTTATCCTCCCCTGCTGCCGTCGCGGGCCATCACTCTGCGTCCCCCCACCCCCCGCGCCCGAACCCCTTTCCACTGCCAACACTTCACCTCGCCCCCGCCGCCATCTTCCTCCTCCCTTAGCGGCCCCGCCTCCGTTAGTACATGGACAATTCTGATTGGCTGGCGTGGAGCTCTGACGCGGCTTATGGGCCCGAGGACGAGGCCTAGCCCTGCGCGGCGAGAGAGGGCGTGCGCCTGGAAACTGGGCTGGCCCTGGACCGAGTGCGCCCCCTGGTCGTGTGGAGGGCAAGGAGCGGGTGCAACCGATCATTTCTGGAGGGACCCCAGAAAAAGCACACGTGTCCTAGGTAGAATGGGCGGCTCCAGAGACCGGCGTCCTGGGCGTCTTATACTGTCGGGCTCCTTTGACAGCCAGAACAGAGACGATTTTCTAGGAGAGTAAGTGATCTAAGTGGTTAGGAAATTAAAGATACTAGAAAGAATCTAAGGGTGGAAAGCAGTCCTCAGCAAGTGTAGACACTGGGGATCAACCAAGGACCCCCAAAGGAAAGTGTCCCCAAAGACTGGGATGTATCTCTTAGAGAGGTTCTGCTACTACTGGTTGTTCAACCTCCCAGCCTAGACTCTCTGTCCTTAATGGCACTGAAGATCCTGAAACACACCCTCTCAAAACGGAATCCTTACTGGCTTGTCCATTGCTTAGTACATAAAAGAGAAACTCAGTTGCCCGGTGATCCAATCACTTCCCTCCTATACTTATTTTTCATTCAGTGATTACTGACCCCGAGCTGGGAGTTAAGTTTAGAATGGGGAGGAAAATAGGCATGGCATCTGATCCCAGTCGCCACCAAGTTGAGCCTTGTCATACCTTTTATACAACCCACTGTGCAACCAGGCTGGACTTCTGCGTGGTCCTCTAAGCTAGTTTGGTACTTCCCAGAATCTATTTTGTACCATTCTTCTCCTTTTTTTTTTCAAACTCTCTCCTTCTGGATTCCTGTTTCCCAATCAGTTATTGCCCAAATCCCAACCAATTCTCAAGTATTAGCCTACATGATACATACTCAATCACTACACACACACAGACACACACACACACACACACACACACACATATACATACACATATACACAGTTGCATTTGTCATAACCTACCTTTTTCTCCTTTTCCCACTGGGAAACGTCTGTTGACTTTTTGGCTGCATGCCTTAATTTTTTTGGTCATTGTCCTTTTTACATTTAGTCTAATTTGAATTTCTAAGGCTTACTTCACTTTATTTTAAAACTTGAATCTCATGTCTGTCTCAAAGTCTTCCTCCCTTTGGCAGATTAACTTGAGGAAATACCTGCTGGACACCAGGCTCACCCCTCACACACTTCTGTCTGCTCTGGACAGGCTCTTCTGATAATAGACAAAGAAAAGGATGAGGGGAAAGGCCAGAACTGGGAGGAAGCTTGCAATCTTCTTCCTCACTGGTCATAACTTGCTGTTTTTGCTGCCTCAGAATATTCGGCTAAGCATAAAGAAGAATGAACTGGAGGCAATCATGATAAGTGAAATAAGCCAATCCCAGAAAACTGAAGACCAGATATTCTCTCTGATATGTGGGTGCTGCTCACAGTAGGGATGGGGGAGGAGTCTAGATCCACCAGATTGGACCGAGAGGAATGGGGAAAAGGAAGTGGGTATGGGAATGGGAAAGATAGGAGAATGAATCAGATGTAACATTCCTGTGTTCATATATGAATATACGACCAGTGTAACTCCACATCATGTACAACCACAAGAATGGGAAGTTATACTCCATGTATTGTATGATATGTCAAAATACATTCTACTGTCCTCTATAACTAAAAATAACAAATAAAGAATGCTCAGCTAAGGACGCTCCCTAAACATTCACTGAGATTTCGCCAGGTATTCTTCAGACACTATTCCCCCACCCACACAGCTGACACTGCCACCTCTCTCAGGTACTCACTTCTTTACCCCAGTGCTTGCTACTTCAAGTTGCACCAGGATATGAAACCCTGGGTAGGATGTTTTCTGGGTCCCTCACCTGCAGTGGAAGACACATGCAAATGAGACTCAATCCTCCCTGGACAGCTTTCTTGATCCTTGGGGTACTGACTCATCAGGAATCCTGGGCTTCTGATGTCCCTTCCTGCCTCCTTCCTTCCTGTCTTTAATAAACACACTTCATGTAACTTGTGTGTAGGTGTTTTGCCTGGCCAGTCTTTGGCAGTAGTCAAAGTGTAGTCCAAGGTCCAGGGAGCTAAAGTGGTAACCAGAGCAAGGCAATCCTGCTTGTTCCCAACTATGTAGGCTGCTTCTCTACATGTAAAAGGAGGTAAAATCAATGGCTTTTGTTTTAAGCCATTAATTCAGAAATGACAAGAAAACCACACCGGGTGTCTTGCTCTGTATACACATTCAATCCAAAATCATGGAGTCCTCCCTCTCCTGAAGATTTTCTTATTTTGTCACTTCAAAAAAGAAGTAATTGTGGCACTTTTAGGAATGTGGGGAGATCAAAATATAAAATTTGGACTTCTTAAACATATTTAAACTTCTACTCCCCAAATTATCCCAGGGGAAGAATAATGTAGAAAAATTTATGCACCTTAAGGAAGATGTTAAGTACCAAACATTATAGGGAAAATATTTTATTTACTTTTGATTACAAAATTACATTACTTTAACTTAAATCCTCACCATCAACATATGAACTATGTTGGTCAAGTGGACCCATCCTGATTTTAGAGAAAGGAAAATTGTTAAAGAGATTGTCAGACTACTGAGATGCTGAATAAGGAGTCGGACTTTGACTCAACAAACTGGATTCAGCCTACTCATCCTTTTTCTTTTCCCACATCCTCATCTGTAAACTGAAGATGATGCTGTGGAGAGGGTTGTGTTACCTGGCCTTTCATTTGTTGTAAAAACGAAGGTGATGTTGGGCTTTGAACTGTTTAGCACTGTCTGGTCCATAGTGAAAGCTCAGTAATTTAATCTATTGCAGGAAAAAAAAAAGACAAAATTTCAATATCCTGATTTAGAAAGAGCATTTTCATATAGTACATTATTTATTCTAGACAATTGTAACCTTGTGGTTGAACTAATACAACTAGCCATTCAAATGGATGATGTTCTCATTCAAAGGTGAAAATCCTGTAAGTAAAAATAAAGAGAGACGTGGTACAAGTTCAACTGCTGGATCTTGAAGCAAAAAGAATGACAATATTGAGAAAAATATGTTGACTCACACGGCAAATTTTGATTTCCATTGAGTCACATTCTAAGAATAGAGCAGAGATTAAGAATTTAAAATGAAGATTATTTAAAGTAGTTTGTGAAATGTACAAGCCCCCAAAATGAGACTGAATTTTAATTAATATTTGTAATGATATCCTTGCTAATGAAAGCCTAAAACCTTCAAACTAAAAACAAGAATAATGACAGGAAAGGGTACTTGAAAATATGTTCCAGCTGAACTTGTCAACAAACTTAGTGCTATGGATTGACTACGAGTTGACCCTCCCAAAAAAATGTATGTTAGACAATGCAAGAAAGTTCAGAGGTTGAATGATTAGATTATTACAGCTGCAACCTAATCAGTGGATTAATCCATTTGGTGGATTAATAATTTGAATGGATTACTGGGTGATAACTATGGATGGGTGAGGGAGCTGGGGGAAGTCGGTCACTGGGGTGTACCCTTGGGAATTATATCTTGTCCCTGGTTCCTCCTGCACACCCATGTATATTCTCTCTCTCTCTCTCTCTCTCTCTCTCTCTCTCTCTCTCTCTCTCTCACACACACACACTCCCTCTCCCTCTCCCTCTCCCTCTCCCCCTCTC